GCGGCTGATGGGTCACAAGTACTGATCCTCAGCCCGGCGCACCACGAGGAAGCTTATATTGATAGGAAGGGATGGAGGAGCATTAACATGATGGCTGTATGTGACTTCGATGCAGTCTTTCGGTATATTGATTGCGGATGGCCTGGATCTACTCATGATTCGAGGGTATTTACGAATAGCTCTTTGCCAAAACGGTTGCAGCAACTATCACCGTACTAGGTAATTTGGGTTATCCGTGCAGGAGTTACATACTAACCTCTTACAAGAATAACCACAAACCGCCGCTGAACCAAGTGCAAAGTCAATATCGAGACTGTCTGTGCGCCGCAAGAGTCATCATCGAGCAGGCCTTTGGGTGGCTGAAGATGAGGGTCAGGATTCGCTCATCCGATTATCTTGAGAAACTTAACACCATGCCGACTGTGGGTTTAGCTGCTAAACTTTAGCAGCATGCGTACTGCACCGTGCAGTCTGCACGACATGGCCAAGAAACTGAAGCAGCCGGTCTGCGAGGTCCCGGCAGCCGAGGAACCCTACGAGCAGTTACGTCATGTGGATGACGAACCACCGATTGACGGTGGATTAGCAGCGGCTGCTGTGCGAAACGTATATGCCGAAAGATACTGTACCATGATCTCATAACGTTATTCCTTTGCAACTTGTTGTGTTCACAGTAGTTCAGAAACCTCAACGAAAGACAATCGTCACCATCATATGGAAGCCTACACACAGTTCGACACTGCTGCTATTATCGAAGACGAACCAATTTTGCTCGGTAATCTGCTCCTTCGCACGCGCGGCTTCGTCTTCAGCACTTTGGGCCTTCCATCCTGCGATAACTTTCATTTCTTGAGCCATCGTATCTTTGTCATATGTTCAGCTTCGATCTTCGAACACTGGATTCCGATTTTCCTGATTAATGTTGCTGTAGGAGTCGACATGCTGTCAGCAAATGATGACATCTTCGACGCCGAATATGACGTATCTTTTCGACGATGATGACACGAGTGCCGGCAAAGTCATAACTTCTTCCACTCTTGCCTGCCTCTTATCCACACCAGACGTCATCTATGTTGTTGCCGTCGCTTCCGCAACTGCTAATCTAGCAGCTTCTGGCTCTGCATCAGCTCAGTAGAAGATCCCCACACTGTGTGGGCCACACACATGATAGAGTCGGGCGGATCTTGCACGGAAGCAGCACCAACCGCGGTTACGATACGGTCAGCCATCTCATCTGCTTCACCAACATACGCTTGCGAATCCCCGCCGCTATCTCTCATTTAATCACGACACTCGTCGTTGCTCGATTCATCCGCGGGAATTGCTACGCTATCCCTTGCTCCCGGCAACATAGCTAGCACGGAATTATCCAATCCCATAATATGCCTCACGCGCTCCAGCCTCGGGTTAACTGGCACCGTTTGAGGCCCTCCGCCAGTCGTTATTATAAGAGTTATTAGAAGAGCCGCTCGCTCAATAACACTATGAAGACATCCAGGTCGGCATCCGAAAATGAGGGTATGGCCATTAAACAAAGAAAGCTCAGAAACGCTACCATGAACCTATTGGAGAACAATGGGCATGGAGAACAATGAAGATTTGTAAAATGATTCCAGAACCGGTTTTGATAAGAACGCGTTCAAAACATCATTCTTTAAGAATGCGTTATAAAACCGATGCCAGAACTAGTTTCAGAACTGGTTCCGGACGCGCGTTCAATGAACGCCGTTCATCAAGCGAGTCAGAGTCGAGCGAGTAGATCTGACTCAAGTTGAGTCAGATTGGCACCTTGATTTAGGCCATGTAGTGCGGGCCTACATTCAATGCAGCTTCAACAACGGAACTCGAGGAATCAAAGAAGTAAAACTACCCAAAAAAATCTTGTACATAAGCTTTTGTATGCTCTAGGCCTGCTAAAAGCTGATCGATAGCAGACATAAATTCGCTGTAAGTTATGATGGAGTCCAGTATGATGAGTATGCTTAGGTTATAATGGATGAGACTAAACGATGCAGTTAGGTCTCAACCATGTGGACTGAGGTACGCAATTTAAATGTGTTTCTGGGGTGATAGTTCGTTCGTCCGTTTTCCTGACGATAAACCCGGGGTGAAATTCCGGGCGGTGATCGAGGCGATCTCGACAAGATCAATGGGCTCCTTCTCAGTTTAGTCTTCTGCAGAGTTGTCGCGCGACATGCCCTCGAATTCCGCTTAGTTCTCAAACTTACACAAGTTATGCTACGCAACGAAACTAACATAAGTCGTACGTTAATATTGTTTTATATTTATAGTTATTGTTGAGTTAATATGTATTTATTATTGATAATATTGATAATATTAATAATATGGATAATATTGATAATATTGATTTTGTCGTGTTTTGATCGTCGACCAAAACACGACGAAATCAATATTATTCGAGAACTGTAAACTCCTGTTGGTCACTATATGACACGAGCCTACTCGTCTTGCATTAACACAATCGTGCCCCTTCAACGGCGCATGCGAGTTTGGAAGTTCCAAGTTGGAACTTCGTAGAGCCTGATGTGCTTGGTTGCATATATGCTCAGCATATAACAACGAAAGGGAGTCGCTCTGCAATCTAGCTGGCAAACAGGGTGTAGTCTGTTGTAATCGACCACCCTTCACTCTACGTCGTGCACGCCTCAATTGATCAAAGGATACAACTTGTATCATATAAATTCTACGGTGATGTGGGGCTCGTTTGGAGGAAACCTCGGTCGTCGATAGAGTGAGTAGTGTCACTTTGTCTCCGACCTTGGGTCTAGGACCTAGACTCTAGGTCATAGCTGGAAAGTAGTTGACCTCCTCAGCCCCCCATACCATATCCTCTCAGAGCAGCAAACAACTCGAGTGGACTCTACTAGAAGTGAGTCGGTTCTCACTTGGAGCTCGTTCGATGATCGAGATGACATTCCGTAGAACTATCACCGACTGATATGCTCAACTGTTCTTGAACACTACCCTTTCAAAGCGATACGAAACTGAGCCTTTTATGGGTTCGTTGATGGAAAATGAATAAAAGATCTACCCGCTCGGTTTCGGAACTCGGTTGGTGAAATACCCATCATCAAATATCCAACACAAGTTGAAATTCATAAAGACATGACACTGATCTCCAAGGACCAATCATCACAAGATAATGCTCACACGATCACTAGGCATCTCTTGTGAATCCAAGTTCCACCACTGAGCTCGAAAATTCAATGGTATGGGGTCACTGAGTGGTCCCTGGACATTGAGTGACCACGTTGGGGAAACACCGATGAAATGAAACGGAATAGATCAACAGGAGATATCTACTATTCATGGAGATAATACATAGAAAGTTAACAGTAGCATGACAGCTCTCCGTAGCAGTGCTCGTTCGGCCGTTACATTGCACTTTCGGATCACCTGTAATAGACTATTCTCCGATCTTCCGCCCAACCTGGCTATGTGATGTGGCACCTCATATGATATGGCGAGTCGCCATTGGCGACTCAACAACAAAGCATTTCCCTTGAGTGACTATCAATAAGAGCGCTAACTTGGGCATGTGAGGTTCAAATTGCCATGAACATTCCGTTGAATGCGAATCCTGTATCGTGCGAACTCAGTGTGAATTCGATGAGAAACCATGTGTGAGGTTCGGCAGCGCCGAGATAGTACTTAGTACTAAGTACTATCGACTCTGGTAGGTCCGCCTCACAAGTAGGTGGCACCTACTAGGTGCCTTTTCCCATGATCGAACATCATCGAGGGGTGTCCATCGCCGCACGCCCTGAGAGAGTCTCTCAGAGAGACGGGCAATCCGGTAGCTCGAGCGGGATGGAATTTCCTTTGCATTCCGCTGTTGAGCACCCGGCCAGTGTGCGGCACTGGTTGTAACACTGGTTCATCGGAGCTGTTGACTTCGTCCTTTGCTCGATCGATCTATGGGGCTCTATCGGAGCCTTCTAGTGGAAGGCTTGGAAACACAATGTTGGCCTTCTACTTTGATCACGCCTATTCAGCGTCGAACGTTATCTTCCAAATGTCGGCTAAGCAACTCGTCATCAGTGCGGCATCAGCTGCCGTTATGTTATCGAGTCTGATACTCTGTAGTTCAATGAGGACGGTTGGCTTGCCCACCCTGTTCGTGGTAAGGACGTCAATTGGAGATCCCAGAGGGCGTTTATGCAATTATCGAGGGACACGCCTGTCAGATCTTACTTTCTGCTCCGGAGTGAGAGTAGTTATTTTTCCTCAGAGCTACCCTCCGGTGAGAAGTGGGGAAATCGATGAAAAGACGATGACACTAAAATGCTCTTATAGGACTTCTAGACCGAGTGATCCAAACCATGCAGCTCTGAAAGTCGAGGTCACCGGTAATCGCATACGCACGAGATCGATCACTTGCCCTACTACGCATGCTCGTAAAGCGTTCACAGCATCGTAAGATATGCATGATCATTGCGACATTGTTTTCATCGTTGCTCTACTTACTTCAGTTACGATGAGAAATCCATTCTTAGGAAATATGTTCCCGATCCCGCTGAGGCTAATGACTACTATGAATTCCCTTCCCTACCTAGAGGCCGTGGTGCTGACCCTCTCAAAAGTGTCAACCTGTCGGCCTTTCCTCAAATACAAGCAGCGGGCAAGGAAAAACTACCTGTTACTGAAAGCTGTTCCATTGTCAGTGAAGCGATAAAGAAGCACTTTCGCGAGGATTTTAGATATCTATGCAAAGAGTTTCGGACCATTTCTGGAACCGCCTTTAACCATACCATGAAAGCTTTGAGAGAATTGAGGGCATTTACGAACGATGTTAGTGGTGAAGCTGACCGCTAACGGTTACATGAGGCAACATCAACGAACCCTGATTCGTCTAAATATCTTCATATACTCACTTTCCTCATTCTACTTTTTGCTGGTTGTCCATGAGTGTGCCAAGAAAGCACTACATGTTGACGATGATAATGATGTGAATGTCGCAAGTGTCCGCCTCGTAACGGGCTTCTTGTTTAACTGGCTTCAATATTATTATAGAGTGGCACATTCCCAGTGCAGAGGGTCAAGCTTGAGATGTCGACGCGACGCCTTATGTTCTCTCAAACTGTACAGCTGTACGAAATGTACCAGCTGCATACGCTACACATGATGTGTAAGAGTATTAGTCGGCACAGTTCCTGCCAGAAATTAAACTCCCTTGCAGCGTGCAGTGGAGAATGTTTAGTCTTGGAGACTTTGGAACTCAACACCACGTCATTATTGAGCATTATATCAGAGTCTTACTCCAAGACAGATGGTAGAGAGTGGCTGAAGAGTAGAGGGGATTGGTATACATCGCAGTGCTTGTCAGTTGAGGAAGATCCTCAGCCGGCAAGTGCTCAGTCACTATAAATGACTGTCTTCCCGCGGATATCATGCAAAGCAGGAGTATATGATTACACAACTCGTTAGCATAATAGAAAATAGCAGATTCCTGGTTTCACTCCGGTTAAGCGCACCGCCGCTCAACTAGATAGAACTCAAGTGTCAGGAAAGTAGATAAGAAGTTCTCATTACGAACTGGTTGCATCTAAGTACGACACTTCAGCTCCTCGCACCATCACTGACTATTCGGTGTGCGGGTTGTATCTCGAGTGCACGGTCAAACGCCATGCGTTATGATATTTGACATATCGGAGCATGGCCGACATGCAACCTCAAATTGCGAAGAGAGAAGAAAAATTCAAAAGTTCAAGAGGGCTGAGCTTATCATTATATCAATGGAGGCTCTAGATTAAGCTTGTGTAGCACAAATTTTTAATTACACGGGACAGTGATGGGATGTTGGTTTGCTCAAACTACAGTCACAGGTCACACCTGTGGCTCCCACCTCTATTCTGGTTCCGAATAATAATGGACTATATACTCAGCAGAGACAACAAAGCATAAGGGATCGTGCAGCGAGAAGCAACAGCATTCCTTGTAGCATTTGTCCTCGTAACGTCCGGGCTCTTTCAAGTCCTCGCTCTGAGCTTCGACAGTTTCGGACAAGAATTTGTCCTCGAGACTTGGGTGATGCATAAAGCAGCATGCAAAGGAGCCTACGACGAAGAGGTTAGTGGATCAACGTAGAACTGCTGATCACAGCATAGCTGATAATGCGCTATAAACCCTTATGCCAACAAGAGAAAAGCTATTATGACTTAAGACGTGTGTCCGGAGAGTCAATGGGGTATGTTTTACCAGGTTTTACCTCGCGAAACAAAGGCTTCGGTTCATTCATACAGCATGCGTTTGACACGGACGATTTTTATCAAGGGTTTACCTCGACGTTGACTAAGAGAATGCCCGGACATGATTATTCCAAGGATTCCTTCAGGACGGATCAAGGAAGCTTCTGTAGCTGCTCGATGGGCGGTGCAACGCCGAGAAGAAACGGAGGACTGACTCGCCGGTCTGCAAGAAATGAGTTGGGCCTCTCATCCATATATCTGTATGATTACAAAAAATTCGAAGTCTAATCGGTCTCAAGGGGGACCATTCGCGGAGAGAACGCGTGCAACAGACCACACTAGAATATGGTGACCAGAGGGGATGTAAAGCTCCGACCTTTGAATGTTCCCGAGTCGTAGCCCGAAGACCATCGACTCGATGGTGCGGCGTG